GGGCTCCGCAGCCCGTCACAGTGCTGGGCCGGGAGGGAGGCGGGTTGGCATCCGAAGGGGACAAGAACCTGGACGGGGGATCGGAGGAGCTTGGGGCTGCTGTCACTGGGGCTGACCTCGTGACACCTGAAGCATCTCAGGGAAGAGAGAAATGGGAGAGAGAGGGAGGGGGGAAGAAGACCTGGGAGAAGGAGAGAAAGGAAAATAGGACTGGGGAGCGGGAAGGAGAGAGAGGATATTCTTGGGCACTGCCTTAATCATAGCCTTGAAACGAAATGTACCGCAGCACTCGGCAGGGGCCGCCAGCCAGCGCCGCCAAGCCAGCCCCTTCTGTTTGGATTAGGCGATGACATCATGGCCAAGGGCCGTCACTCCTAACACTGAAGGAAGAGGAGAACGGCGGGCGGGTGGGAAACCTGAGCCTCCTGCCGCTCAGCTCTCAAGGAGGGGAACCTGAAGTCAGGAAAGCTCAGCCTCCACAAGCTCCTGCCAGGCTGGGCAGCCAGTGCCCCGGGTGCCTGGCCTCACCCCTGGCCGTCCCTGGTCCCCAGAAGCTGAGGCTGCTTCCTGGAAGCCAGGATGGAGGAGGCCTGGGTTCCCATCTCTGCTCCCTGGCGCTGCTCCCCAACCGGCCCATTAAGGAAGCACATGACCACATGCCCAGGGCCAAGAGGAAATAGCCTGGGCATGAGAAAACGCTCAGCAGCGGCCAGCAAGGAGCCCCGCTCGTGGCTCTCGACTCCTTTGTTCTCCACGGGAGTGGGGTCTAGAGGAGGGTCCGGAGAGAGTCCAGTGTGGGAGCGTGGGAGGTGGGCTGGTAGGGAGTGGGAATTGGGGAGGGAGGCAGAGCAGAGGGTGCCCCCACGGGAATCATGAACCCTCTTGCACTCCCAAAAAGGGGAGGCACACAGGACAGGGCCCTGTGCGTCCCAGGGAGGGAGGAGAAGCAGTGTCCTGTCCCAGTCCATGTGGACCGAGGTCCACAAAGGCTTCCCTGCCCCAGAGTGCCCCCCCCCCCGACTAGGAGGTGTTCAGGCACTTTTCAGCCCTGCTGTCTGGGCTCCCAGGTGCCTGTCTCCTCAGGCCGAGGACCGATGACTCCCAGGGCTCCCTGTTGGCTCCCAGGACAGCCTCGCTCCCTCCCTCCTTGCTGGAGTCACCGTGGCCTGGGTCAGGACACAGTGGCTGGAGTGGGGACGGCTGCCTGGACCCAGCACGTCAGGGAGCAGGGGTTGATGTCCAGACAGGTTTGCATGGAGGGGACCCCGGCTCAAGGCCGCCCTCCCCCTGAGGGGGGCCTGCCTGGTTGGAGAGGGAGGAGGAGGTGACAGGTGCCTAGGCAGGCGGCGGAGAGGCCGAGCCCCACCTTCTGAAAGAGGCCCCAGGGATGGTATAAGAGAGCCGCGGAAGCAGCAAAGGAAGCCCGATGGGGGCACGCGGCCCGGGCAGACGGGTGGCAGAGCGAGCCGTGTGGGGCAAACGTCCTGAGGAGCTGCCGCAGGGCAGCGTTTCATAGCACTGGCTGGGAGTGCGGGCAACCCCTCCTCGGCCCCGGGCCGGCACTGTCTTCTCTAGGGCTGGGCTGTCGCCTGAGGCTGCTGTCCCTGCCCGCTGTCCTACCACCTAAGCTCCCACCGCCTGGAGTCACCCACTAACTTTTTTTAAAAGATTTTATTTAGAGAGAGGGGAAGGGAGGGAGAAAGAGAGGCAGAGAAACATCAGTGTGTGGTTGCTTCTCACATACCTGCTGCTGGGGACCTGGCCCGCAACCCAGGCACGTGCCCGGACTGGGAATTGAACCGGCAGCCCTTTGGTTCACAGGCCGGCACTCAGTCCACTGAGTTACACCAACCAGGGCTCACCCACTAACTTTTTGCTGAACACCTTTTGATACACCTGTGTAGATCCATGGGCGTGTTTAATTTTTTGAGTTCTCACTCTATGACATGGGGGGGGAGGGAGGGAGAGAAACATCAGTATGAGAGAGAAATGTCGATTGGTTGCCTCTCATGTGCCCCAACCAGTGACCCAACACACAGCCTGGGCATGTGCCCCAACTGGGAACTGGACTCGTGACCATTCGTTTTGTTTATGGGAACGATACTCCCACCCACTGAGCCGTGCCAGCTGGGGCTGTATGTTCAATTTGCCATGAATGAAATGTTCTGCATGTTGTTTACTCATGGACCCTTTTAAAAATGATAATCGTTTTACCATTCCTTGTCTCCTCTGAGGACTCATGTGGACACACGGGCGTGTCCAGGACACAGACTGAGATGCACAAAAACTTATGTCTCTGTGTTCTGCTTTTCTCACGCCCCGAGATTTTTATCACATAGGCCGGTCAGCCAGGATGGCTTTGCTTCCCTGGCCCCGCCCCAGCAGGCCGGCGGGAGGGGGGGGTGGTCGGGGGGGAGGTTGCGCCACAGTTGGACTTACATGAGCTGTCACCGCTGGGATGGGCGGCGTTATCAGCATCTGGAGGGCGGGGGCCGGAGATGTTGCTCAACACCCTGCAGAGCATAGCACATCTCTGGCCAGAGAAGCACTGGCCCAGAGGTTACTGGTTACTTAGCCCTGAGGCTAAGAGGCCAGTCCTGGCCAAAGCGAATTAATAACAAAATTAATGAGCCCTGGCTCAGTCGGTTGGAGTGTCATCCTGTAAACCAAAAGGTCACGAGTTCGATGGCCGGTCAGGGCACATGCCTGGGTTGTGGGTTCAGTCCTTGGTCAGGGCGTGTACGGGAGGCAATCAAATGACAATTCTTTCCCTCCCTTCTCCTGCCTCTCTAAAATCAATAAGTATGTCCTCGGGCAAGGATAAAATTAATAATACAATTAACAAAATGGAATGAACATTGAAACGTGCTGTGGAGTCCCCACCACTGCTCGTGAAGCTGCTTCGTGGGCTGTGCAGCGAACTGTGGCCCATCTTCACGGGACAGACGGCTCAGTCATTCTCAGCTCCTCTGGTCACCTTCAGGATGTCCTATGGCAGACAGCCCCGCCCAGGGATGCTGGGGACAGATACCCGGGCTGGGACAGCACCTATGTTCTGTGGCCACGAGTCTGATGCACAGAAACATCAGGACAGCCAGACACACGGATGCCCCCCACCCCCCCACAGCCCCCCACTGCCTGCCCAAGATGTGCCCATTCTTTCGGGCCCAGCTCCCTGCGAGTGTGGGGTCAGTTTCATGCCCACACACCGTGGAACATCTGACTCTCCGGAACCTGTCGGGAGGGTGTGGGGGCTTCGGCGCCCCTCCAGCTGTCTCCAGGGAGAGAACACCCAGGGCTCAGGAGGAAGTGGAGCTTCTTTCAACTGGGAGAGTGAGCCACCAGGAGGAGGCATTTCCAGAGATCCTTCTTGAGCTCCGTGGACAGAGCCTGGCGGGCAGGCCCAGCTGGCTGGTAGGGCCGCCTGCCCAGGCCTGTGAGGTCATCCTGACTCTGTTTACCAGAGGGGGTGGGCCCGAAGAGGCGCCAGCACGTCCTCCTCGCCCTGGACGAGGTGGACTCAGCCAAGCCAAGCGCAGGAGGGGCTCGCTGGGGGTGTGCAGGCAGGGTGGGGTGTGGCCGGCCCTGCTGGGCTCTGTGCAGGGAAGTCTGCGGGGGAGACCGGGCAAGGTGGGTGCTCCTGGTGGGAAGCAGTGGCCTGGGAGTGTGGTCTGAGGGTCCTAGAAGGACCCGCCCTCCTGTCCAGCAGGCTGTGTTCAGAAAGCACACGGGGGCGGGGTCTGCGATGACCACCACCAGAGCTCCCAGGCCCACGCCCTCTTGCTTTCTTGGGGCTCGCCTGGGTGTGTGACCTGGAGCCAGGTCAGAGCTACAGCCCTTTCCCTGAATTCCTCCTGCCTTGTCACGCCCTCTGGCGCTGAGCAGTGAGCATGTGACACCACTCCATAAGAACGAAAGCCGAGAAAGTGAGCGTGGGTGTGTCAGGAGGCCAAATCATCGCTTCCCTGTGAACTCTTCTCCCAGTTGTCTGTTTCGAAGCGCCCAGAAAGAGAAGGAAAGAAACCGTCTTCCGCTCCTTCAGTAGAGTCCGGTTTCATATCTCGTCAGCACCGTGGAGTTTGGCAGGCAGTCATTCTTCAACTGTGTCATTCTCTTCCCTTTCCACCTCCCCAGCTCGATTAGAAGTGCCCTGCCGGCAAGAAGGAGGTCCTGTGTGTAAGTGCCCACCGCAGAGGGGCTTGGGCAGGCTCAGTGATAGGCAGACAGGGTCCCTGGGGTCACACCTCATCCTACTCCACACCTCGAAGATACTCCACCCCTTCTGGAACACAGAAGTGTTTTGGGGAAAGTCCTTCAGCTCCCACATTTGTGGGATAAGGGAGGGAACTGTGAACCGAGCCCCGCCAATGCCTTCCTCCAGTCCGACTGCCTCCCAGGCTCCTGGGCCCACCCCCCTGGCTCTTGTTGGCTGGTCAAAAATATGGCCAGTTTATATAAAATCTTGTTTTGTTCATTGTAACCACTCCCCCTCTTTCAAAGTAAACTGACTAAACGCACTTACAAGGCCTCCGTTTGCAAAAGGAATCCTTGGCAAGTTTCACAAGGTCGACACCCATGCGGCAGGAAGACCCCTGCCCCGAAGCTCACACCCCTTGTGCTCAATCCCCAGGGACCCCAGGGCCCCGGCAGGGAACGGGGCAGCGTATACCTCCCATACCAAGCTGGAGGGGAAGGGGAAAAGGTGGTGGGTGGGGTGGGCACCCCCAAGTGCTGAGTCAGGACCCACTGGGCGCTGTCCGCCCCGTTCGCCCCTGCCCCAGCCTCTAGCGATTTGGGAGGCTATGGGGTGCGGCCGGGGCCCGGTGGGAGGCCAGGTGCGCAGCGGCGAGCCCCCACGCTGGGCACAACAAAAGCCAGGCCGGGAGAGGGCCGGGGAGGCGCGGGAGGCGCGGGGGGCGGGGCCTCCGGAGCTCCCTGAGCCCCATTGGCTGCCGGCGGAGCCCGACGTCCTCCCGAGCACTATTAAAGGCCGGCTCGGGCCGAGGCCGCGGCGCACACATCCATAGAAGGCTGTGGAGGACTCGGGACACGGGCCGTGCGCCGCCTCCCACCGCTTTCTTCTCCGCGCGTCAGCTTCTCCCCCTGCCGCCGCAGCCGCCGCCGCCGCCTCCAGCACCACTGCCTTCACCACCACCTTCGGACACAGCCGGAGAAAGTTTGTGCGTCCGAGTGCGGGGCGGGTGCGGCGGGCGCGCCCAGGAGCGCAGCGAGACCGCGCGCCTCAGACCGCCCAGAGGGGAGCGCCCCGAACTCAGGCGGCGGCGGCCGAGCCCCGAGCCCGCGCCCCCGGCCTGCGCCCCCCGCCCGCCATGGGCGCCGCGGCCCGCAGCCTGCGGCTCGCGCTCTGCCTCCTGCTGTTGGGGACGCTGCACCGCGGGGCCGACGCCTGCAGCTGCTCCCCGGTGCACCCGCAACAGGCGTTTTGCAATGCAGACGTAGGTAAGGACGACGGCCGCCCCAGCCCTCTGGGTGCCTAAGACTCCCGCGGGCAGTACGGGACCCCCCCGAGGGTTCGCAGGCGCCCTGCCCGCCGGCCTCTTGCAAAGGGACCCAGCGCCTACCCCCCGGCCCACGGCGCCTTCTCCAGTCCTGCAAGTTGATGCCAAAATCGCACTTTCTTTCCCCCCCCTCCACGCCCTTTCTTTCCTTCTCTACCGAGATGCTTCTCAACCTCAAAATTCCACCGAAATTCCGCTTCAGCTCCAGCCCCAGAAAAGGGAGCCAGCGAACGGATTGGGTTTTGGCAGGCAGAGGGCCCTGGGATACCAGCGCGGGGCGGGGGTGGGAGGCGGAGAGAGTGGAGGACACAGCGCGTGTGAGTGGAGGGGAGCCTTGGCCTCGGTGGGCTGGAGGGCCGGGGACCCCAGGAAGAAACTTTAACATATGATTTGGCAGTTGGGCTCCTCTGGGTTTAGGTCGGGTGGGGAATGGCTTCTCTATCTAGGCCTCTCCCACCAGCCCTGTTTGGGGGCTTGCTGGATTGAGTGGGGTCAGATGGACGCCCCCCCCCTCCCCAGGCTCCTGGCTCAGAGGAGATGCTCAGAAAGGCCTGCAGAGCCCCAGGGCCGGCTCCTAGCTTGTGTTCTACTCAGGAGGCATTGCATACAGGGCGGGACTGGAAGGCGGGTCTTTGAGCGGCTTGGTGCTGGTGACTACTTTTTCAGGACGGCCACCAGAACTGGGTACTTTGGGGACTGGAAGGGGTGGGGAGGGGGTGCAGGCTGTGTGGCGGCTAATGATCCCTAAGCAGGTAATATCTATTTCCCATAGGGTCCCTTGCCCTGCAAAGGTGGGAGTGAGCGAGGGAGGAGGAGCCCAGTTGTTTGCTCTGGTCCGTGGAGGGGCAGCAGGAGTGGGTAGGTCGGGTAGGACCAGCTGGCACCCAGAGGTTTCCTTGCAGGTCTGACACTTGCAGGCTGCAGCAGCCTCTGTGAAGGCCAGCCAAGTTTCCCGGGGAAGTTGAGGCTAACCAGAAGGACAGCAGCACCACAGGTGGGCCTGTGCAGCCCCTCTGACTTCTCAACAGGTGTAATTTCTGCTCCTACCTCTCAGCCAGACCAGCATCCTGTTGACAGCCAGCTGCGGGGAGGTGGGGCTGCCCTCACCTGTAGTTTCTGGGTTTCGTTGTCACCCCCTGGGCTCCCCAGTCCTCGTGGCTCCTTGCGGCACCCCAATTGGCTCTTTATGCTGCCTCTGCCACAGGTGCTCCTACCTGGGGGCATCACATGGCTCAGGCCACCTGTGCACGGGGCATGCTTGAGGAGTAGTTTGCGCAAAAGTGGAGTTGGGGGAAGGAAGGTCTCTTTTGGTGCTTGGAGTGATTGGAGTGGGGAGGAGGGGCTCCTGCTTGGGAGGAGCCAGAATCAGCTGCCAACCAGCGAGTTCTGGGGCGGAATCCGACTGAGGCCAGAAGGCATCACGGGTCCTGAGAGCGCCAGGCTGGGCTGGCAGCAGCGAGTGGGAAGGGGCCGGGCCTTGGACCACTGCTCAGCGCTGCCCTGCCACTGCTTGGTGCTTGTTCGGGGTCAGTAGGGGCAGGGCTGTTTCTGCTTTGGGTCTGGATGGAGGGCAGCCAGGGGTCAAGGTCAGGGAGTGTCAGGATGCCTGGAGTCTCGTTCTTGCTTTGCGTGCTACTCTGTCCTCCCCCTGGACCTCCTGGTTGTTGTGTCCAAATCACCACATCAAAATCGGCCAAAACTCTTAACTGCGCCCCTGCCCAGATGCCCAGCGGGGCCTGCAGATGCCGGAGTTGCTGGGCAGAGCCCCCTGGGTTAGATTCCTGGGGTTTTAGGACCAACGGCCCAGCACTGGGGGGCTGGCTCCTGGAGGCTCTGAGGGAGAATCCTGTCCAGGCCTCCCTCCCGCCTGTGGGGGCCCAGTCATCCGTGGCTATCCTTGCCTCATAGACACATCACGCCAGTCTCAGCTCCATCCCCACGTGGCTTTCTCCCCGAGTGTGCGTGTGTACAGATTCCCCTCTTCCTTTAGGGATACCCTCATTGGACGAGGGCCCACCCACATCCCTCACGACCTCATCCTAACTGGGTTGCATCAGCAAAGGCCCTGTTTCCAAATAAGGCCTCATTCCCAGGTCTGGCTGGACAGAATTTTAGGAGGGTGCAGTCTGAGCTGGGCTGCCCTGTCTGTCCCGCACGCAGCCCTGCTGTGCTCAGTCAGCTCGGAGGGAGACAGTGCCGGACACCGCCGTGCCGGCCCTGGACGGCCTGCAGGGAACCTCACAGGAAGGCAGTGGCCTTTCCCTGTCACCTCTGCTCCGAGTGGGACGGGTTTGTGACTTCATCTGGTTCGCCACTCTGGCCGAGAGCAGAATTGCCTGGGACCTTTTAAAGGTCGCTCAGGGCTTTGCAGCTGCAGGGAGTCCGGCCCAGCCCTCAGTTTGGCAGTTTTCAAAGCCCACAGGCGATTTTGCGCCACCAGAGCCGTGGCCCAGGGGTCTGGGAAAGGGTGGTGGCCTGGTGTCCGTGGGGATGCTGGAGAGTGGCCTGTAATGTGGCACACCGGTGCCTTTCACGGTCGGCCGGTCTCGGGTTTGTTAACAAGCTTGGTATCTGCCAGAGGCGATGGCTTGAGAAGCAGCTATCTGCCCTAGTGTGAGGGTCTCCGGGAGCCCCTCCTTCCCCTGGTGCCGGGGAGGGTTGGAACTGTGGTCTGCAAAGAGTCAGTTTGAAGTTGTGATATTTTGGATGAAGGGGAGTAGGTAAGAGAAGGTCTGGACTCCTGGGAGCCCCTGCTCCGTCCTTTCCAGGAAAGGGGGACAGTCAGGCCGCTGCTTGGATGTGTTGCCGGCGCCTCCCTCTGCTGATGGAGTCCTTTGCTCTCCATGGTGCCGATGACCAGGCAGGGTCACGGCGCAGAGAGCCTGCAGCTGCCCTGCCAACCAAGGGGCTCGTGTCCGGGCCAGTTGCTGGAGAATAAAATGTCCCCTCCAGCCTGGGTAGTGATGCCCAAAGCCATGTCACTGCACAAGGGCGCCTGCAGTGCCATCTTTCTCAGCGTGTCCCTACCTCCACATACTGCTTTCTGCAAACCGCCTGCTGGTCTCCAGCACCAGGTGGAGAAGGGCTGGCTGCCAGGGCAAACAGCCAGCTCTCTGATGCACCAATGGGGGCCAGACAGTGCCACCCGGAAGACACACAAGCTCTCAAGGACAGCCCTGCCATCCCCTGACACATGATCAGGAAGAGCAAGGCAAATGAGATTCCTCTGAGTTGAGTCGGACCTGCAGTGCACGGGGCGGGTGAGGTGGCCGCCCGCCTGCCAAGCACATAATCGGTCTGTGTTGTGTGCATCCTGAGTTTGATCTTTAAGGAGATGCCGGCTCCGCCCGGGGGCTGTGAGGAAGCAGCAGCATTATCCCTGCCTTCACCAGGGGAGTGCCGACCGCAGCGCCAGGCCCTGGGGGAGTGGGCGTCAACTGTGTGGGTCAGGGTCCAGGTGGGCAGGCCCCCCAGGCCCCCACCCCCGCTGGACGCAGAATAGAGTCCGTCAAGTTCAGTGAGCTTTTCGAAAATAATTAATGAAGGAACCGTGTCCCACTGTGACGTTCGTTCCTGTGCAGACACAGGGTTTGGGTGGGAGGCTGGGGAGGGGCCGTGCAGGGGACTGGGGCTCCTGGGCTCAGTTTTGAGCAGTGTCCCTATGAGAATGCAGTCTCCCAAGAGAGGGCCCGGGGGTGAGTTGCTGGCAGCTCCCGGGGTTGGCAGGCCCGAGGAGGGAAGAGCTGTGTTGGGGGCGTGGCAGGCTGTGCAGCGGGCGTGGCAGGCGGCTGGACGGGAGCCTCCCCTCTGCCACGCCCGCCCTATCTGTGGTCTGAGGACCGGGTGCAGCTCTGTCTTTCAGGGTGTGCAGCCCTGGTGGGTGGTGCGTGAGCCGAGTGTGGCCCTGGTCCCGGCCTGTTCTCTGCTGTCTGCCGGGTGGCCAGGCAGATCCCACGGACGAGGGAGGACCTGCGGTGGTGACATTTGGGTGCCTGGAGAACACAGGGCTTCCGGGCTTACCGGGGAGGGCGGCCTGCAGCCACCCTAGTCCTGAGGCAGACCCACTGCTCCGATGCCCGAGGGGCTGTGGGGCCAGGAACCCCTTGGGTTACAAAATAGCTAAGAGATATTCCTGGAGAGCCTCCGGCAGCAAGGGGGACGGAAGGCCAGCGGGAGAGCGAGCGAGCTTGGAGGAGACGGGAGGAGGGGGAAGATGGGAGGGGCAGTAAGCAGTGGTGGTGAGGCGGGTATAAATGTCACGGGCTCCTCTCTGCCAGGAGCTGGACGCAGGCGTCTGTCCTGGACGCTCCCGCCACGTCCCAGTGTGCACCCAAACAAGGGACTCAGGGTGCGTGGGTAGGAAAGTCTTTGTAGAAAGGGAAAGCGGAGTTGGGAGATGAGGCTGAGGTGCGTGAAGAACCCGAGGTCTGAGACTGCGCCCTGGTGCAGTGTCACTGGGGACAGCGTGTGCGTGCCCAGGTATGCTCCGTGGAGGGACCACCTGGACAAAGGCGAGGGGGAGTTCTGGGTGCAGAACAGGCCGGAGTGGAGGGCTGGGGAATGGGGAGACCCAGGAGGGCGATTGGGACCAAATGTCGGGGCTCCGCCTTATCACGCGGACCATCCCCGAGACCCCGCGCCGGACCTGTGACCCTCACACAGCCCTGGGGGACGGTGCGCTGTCACAGGGATGCTCAGAGGGTCCTGGTGTCACTGAGAGGGATGCCGAGAAGCAGCGGGGGGCTGGGACAGCCAGCACTGCTGACAGTGAGGACAGAAACCACAGCTGTCACTGCTCCATGCCAAGGGCTTGGGGCTTACTCTGCACATTCCAATGTCAGTTCCATTAATTCTCCACTGTTGTCCCATTTCACGGATGAGCAGGCGGAGGCCTGGGTGAGGAAGTGACCTGCTCAGTGTCACCGTGTTAGCAGAGTAAGA